TAGACTCATTGAGCGCTTCATTCTTCTTATGTAACTTAACATTAAGTTAAGAACACGCTTTGTAGAGCTTATTTTCTTACCTTGTTTAGTGACAATCATAGAAGTGGAAATTATAAGTTTAGTATCGTCAGCTACAAGCAACAAATTGGAATCTGATGGCGATAATGATGACCCACCTCCTACACCTCCTCCAGGTATACACATTTTTTTTGGGTTTAGGTGAAAGATTTCTGCCAGTTTATGGAGGGAAATGAAAACTAATTAATTAGGGAATTGTTTTGATGTTACAACCTTTCTAAAGTTTAATGTTTTAGTTAACATGAGGGCAGCACAGAAACGAAAACGGGTAATCACGAGCTCTGACGAGGAAGATGGAGATGAAGGTCTGTCTTCTACACTTTCTCTATTCAGAAGTGTGTTTTTGGTAGTAATTATATTGCTCCTCAGGTTTCCCTGTAGTTAAAGCAGGATGGGAGGAAGTGATGAGAGGGCTGTTTGGGTAACTTTCAACATTGTGTTAAGCCGCTTGGATTTAGGTACGTCAAGTGCAGTGTCAAAAACGCCTTTTTCGGTGTTAACTGAAAGAAATGGAAAAAGTATCCAAGTAAAAGGGCCACCGCAGCATGTTCTCAATTTGCTCAAGGTTAGGCATTTTTAAATTTGTGGGTTCAATCCTCTCTACATTTGATAGTCTCAGGACTATTTCGGTCACTCCTCCTTTCGCCCTATGCAGTGGGATATCGTAAAAAATGCACTTGATGGCAAAGATCAGCTCGTCTTGATGTCTACCGGTGAGTTCAAGAGCTCAGTTTTTTCACCTTCTTTGAACTTTAGCAGTTTTCCTTCAGGTTACGGTAAAAGTGTATGTTATCAACTGCCTGGACTAATAACTAATTCTTTAACACTGGTCATTTCCCCGTTGATCTCACTGATGAACGATCAAGTTAGGACACTGTCGTAGGTTTCTACATGAATAAATATACATTCATTACTGAGGTTCTCATAATTTCCTAAAGAAATTATTCCCAAGAAATTAGAAGTCATGAAATTGTTGCAGTTTGACACATAGCTCACAATACGTAAGAAAAGCATTCCAAAATATATATCGTTTTTAGATTGAATGGTACCGCTGCATGTCTACTAAGCGGAACAACCAGTCACAAAGAAAAGGATAGCATCATGTTGGCTATCAGCGAAGATACGCTAAGGTTAGTGTCGGCCCAGAATTTGAAATTATCTTGGAGGAACGTATTAGGTTAGAGAGTGTGACATTCTGTGAAGCCT